CAGGTGGGCCACGTTGGTGAGTCGCAAGTCGTCTGGAAATCGGATGATTTTCAGCGAGGTTTGTGCATTCTTCCGGCCCACCTTGATCGCCATCATACAGGGTGCTATTGAAAACATGAATATCTCTTGAATGGCTCTGTAGCGCAAGAATTGGTTGGGCGTTTGCAGATGAGCCTTTTCCGCCGAGTTGACGGGCCTGGAGAGCACGGGTGCAGGCAGTTTGCTGAGATACAGAATGACCGATGTGTCCGTGCAAACCAGGTCGTAGACGCCGAGCGGCTTGGTGTTCTGATGCTCGAGGACCAGTTGTTCCACGTCGGCTCGATTCAACTTGTTGTCCATCTCGACGACCAACTGGGCCTGTAGAGTGACCCGGTGTTGCTGGAAGATGAGGAAGCCGGCGAATCTGCCGAGCGAATCTAAACTGGGCGGTTGGCTGGCACGAATGAGCGGCTGAGGTGAGGCTACTATCGGCGACGTCTCCAAATCCAGAATGCTGGCAGTACCGGCGGCCTCAGACAGTCTGCCGAAGGCTCCGATATCGGCCGAACCTGCTGCCAGCCGAGCGGTTGTATTCTTTGTTCGAATCCTCACCTCGTTCAGACCGGCCCATTCGTTGAGGCCGGCTTCGTTGCTCAAGTGGACTGGTGAACTGGCCGACAAGTTCACGGTTGGCTGAATCGGATCTGAGATTGATGGACGGATCAGAGAGCCACTCGATTGCAGACTCGCAGCACCGTTCGCGAGGGTTTGCGGCTCGAGGCGGTCGTTGCCGAAACTGGCCCAAAACGACTGACGTTGCTGAGCAGAGTCTCTCGTCTCGGGTCTGACGGTGGAACGGAGCATGTTCGCCTCGGCCGTCGAAGATGAAGACGCCTGAGACAGGACTCCCGACTTGAGAGTGAAGCAGAGCAGGTTGTAGTCGGCCAGTGACTTGCAACGCAAAATCAGCCAATAGGCCAAATTTCGCTTGACAACACACACACCAACAACCAACAGAAGTGGGTAGTTGGGCTGGTGGTAGACGACGTGCAGGTCCGAGTAGTCGAGGCGCTCCTCCTCCTTCAGAAGACCCATCGACGTCACGCGGTAGACGAGGACAACATCCTTGAAGCAGACGAAGCGCAGTTTACGCACCGGTTTTTTCTCCATTTTCAACTCATGCAAAAGACTGTCGGCTTTGGAGATGGACATCTCCGTTTCCGGTTTCGTCACGGTCAGCTGACCCAGCAGCGCGATGGAGGAGTTGAAGAGCGGCTTCACCTCCTCCGTCATGTATGCCATGGGGGCAATGTGCTTGAATAGCTCCATTATTCCTCCACACAAGCCAGAGGCAGAACTCACCAAACGACGTAGCAAACGACGTTGACGAATGCCAACAGTCTCATGTACACCAGAAGTCACCACTAGTCGTCTGACCCGGGCGAATTTCTCGCAGCAACCAGCAAAGTCGGTATGACGAGGTGTGGTGAAGAAGAGACCAACGACGCAATCAAGCCACCAGTTTAGACTGGGCTACTGACTAAGCTACGAGCACAATTGTCACTGGAAGCCTGAGCAACGTGTAAAAATAAATGGTATGGCCGCCCAATGATGAGTGCCTTTCAAGGTTGACGTTCAGGCAAAAGTAAGCAACTTGTCTGGAACCAACTGCGTTCAACTGTGCTCAACCCGTCAGCTTTCTAATCCAAACTACTTCAAGCCACCCTTTCGTCTCCACTAGTAAACACACACAAACACATACACACACACACACATGCACACAAGAGAATCTCCGGTTGGCTGTTAGTCTGCACTTAGAAATCCAAAGCACAAAAAGACCCTAAAGTTGAAATTAATTTTTATTAAATAGTCAGCTTAAAGATGAATTGAATGTAGCGAAAGCCGACGCTTCCTCAGTCACTTATCGATCAATTTCAATTAACTTTTGTATTGTACGTCAATTAGTTATTTACACAATTGTCTGTCTGCTTCTGCTCTCGTCTGTTGGTGTGTTTAGCTGGCCGGGCATACACTTTGTTGCCGTTGTCTGCATGTGTATGTCTGTCGGTGCATATTTCTGTAGCTACGTATTTCAACAGGTCTCTTCATTTGTCTGTTGGACCCTGATTGCGCACGAGGGTGACCAAACTATGCGCGAAGATGCAGACTGATACCGTCAAGATTAGGAAATTGTGGTGAGAAATGGTTGCATTGTTGCACCTGCCGACGAGAAATGATGAGCTCTGCGAAAAAGACAGGCCTATTTCACACGCTGGCTGGGGCTAGAGGCCCGTTTGCGGGCTGGCGAGGCTGAGATTGCGCGAGAGTACGGCATGACGACGAGATGTTGCACCCTCTGCGGTCAGCATTAGTGAGCTCAGAGACTGCATGCTCTGTCTG